GTGACTGATAAATTTGGTATAGCAGCTGTGTCGTGGTTGACGATGCTAAGGCATTTGTCTGCCTTGTCAGAGTGGCTACGTGTTAGGGAATGCTTTCTAGGTTTTAATTTGTTTTGAAGTCCTTGTTTCTTACCGTGATTCGGGTTATAGAGGGTAAAAATCTTAAGAGAATTACCTGAAGGGGCAGCAGGAGATTTGAGCCATCGAGGATAAAATTGCGGTTAATGTATGACGGACATTAAAGGGTAATCATGATCAATTTCGGTTCGAGTTGGCGCGGTGTCAAGTTAGGGAAGGTTCGAGTCATCGGGAGTCGACTGCAACTGTAAAAGTAAATTGGTTACAGATTGCACATGAAAGCAGATACAATTTTGTAGATTTAACACCAAAAATGAAGCTGATGTGGTGCAATAAAATCCTCTTGATTATGACGAGGGAAAACGGAAGAAAAACCGAAAGCGCTTTCTGTGTGCGAGACAATTTACAAATACACTCTCTTCAGGAGACGGTCTCTAAAAATAGAGTCTATGTCTACGATACATTAATATTTGACTGTTAAAATTAATTATACATACCCAAGGACTGAGCAATTCAGTAAGCTTTGTTTACTTTATCAAGGTAAAGAGACGATGAATCTTTAAAGAAGTAAAACAAAAAGGCGAAAAGTGTTTGTGCCTGAGCCATATACATACAAACTTGGAGTTACATCTGCTAAGTCTAGGTAAACAAGCAGTGCGGAGAGTGGGCTACGAATAATTTGACGAAGAATTGAAAAACTCAGGGGATTGGGTTCGGTTCATGTTGACGCCACGATTAATTAGTCATTCACATTTTAAGTGGGAATGCCCTGCGGATGTTTTTGCGGGTATTACAGAGCGGAAGACCTAATTCTTCCATTAAATTTTTTAGGTGTTTACATAGACCAGCATCTTGCGGGAAAATGTATATTAACTACATTTGTACAAAAATTTCTAAAGCAATAGGAATGTTGTATAAAACAAGGTTTCTTGTACCTAGTAAATCCCTCCTCTTATTGCATTATTCTTTTGCCTCTTGCCATTCTCTCCATCCACTAGAACTTCTTCTTCTTTTCTCTCTCTTTCTATCATATCTCTATTTCTTCTCATTCTAATCTCTGTTTCCCTTCTGTCCTGGTCCGTTTGAAGTTCTTCCCGCTCCGCATTCTCCTGTTCATTTGTATAGGGGAGAATATACAAACTAAAAAAAAAAACTATATACAGTAGTAGGTAAAATATCTATAGTTAACTCATTAAGAGATTTATAGTAAAAATACACAGAAGTCAAAATGAACAAAGGCTACAGCCTGCGCAGCCGTCATCTAAAAGTTCACTTATATTGAGTTGGCGTATCTTGCTTTTAAACGACGTTAGGGTTGTGACGTCCCTGATACTCTTGGGTAGTTTTGTCCATAGCCTAGGCCCTAAATATCTAATAGAGTGCTTGCCATAGGTGACTGTCTCATACCTAGGTATAGAGAAATCTGCTTGCCGCAGATTGTAATTACTATTTGGTTCTTTAAAGATGTTACTTATATATGCAGGGCACAGTTTATGCTTTACTTTATACATAAGGATGCACAGATCCTGTAAGCGACTATTTAGTAGTGTTGGCAGATCTGCCTTCTCTAATAGTTGTTCATAACTAGAATTATTATCCTTGAAAACCGCTCTAAGTCCTCTTTCTTGTAGTCTTTCAAGCTTTCGAGTGTCACTCGCTTTACAAAAATGCCACACTAGGTGACAGTACGTGAGGAATGGTAATATCGCGCTTTTGAATAATATTAACTTAGATTTCATAGGAATTAAATTACGTAGTCTCATTAGAACACCAATTCTCTGGCTGGCTTTTTTACAGATAGAGATTACATGCTCAGAGAAATTTAGCTTAGAATCTAACACTACTCCTAGAAGTATGATATTATCTTTAGTTTCAATCACAACATCATTCACGCAAATATTGCTGTCATTTTGAGTGAAGCCCAAGTTCAAAACTTGGTACTTTTTGAGGTTTCCCGCCAATAAGTTAGAATCGTACCACGTTGTTGCTAAGTTGGCACTATCCTTTAACTGGGAAGTCACAGCTGCCTGGTCTGCTCCTGCGTGGTAAATTTGATGGTCGTCGGCATACATAGACAAGTTCGCTGTTAGGCAGTAGGATAGGTCATTCTGGAAAACATTCCATAACAACGGGCCAAGCGCGGAACCCTGAGGACAGCCACGACTCACGAATCGGCTCGAACTAACATGACGGCCGATCTTTACTTGATATTTCCGTTCATTTAAATAGCTGTTTAAAAGTTGAATAGCGCTTTCCTGAAAACCGTACGCTTCAAGCTTGTTCAGAAGTAGTGGTGGGTGTAACGAGTCAAATGCCTTTGACATGTCAGTTGAAAGTATGCTCACAACCTGTTTTCGATCCCTCGCCAGTCTCCAATCTTCTACTAAATTGATCAATGTTGTTTCGCAGCTGTGAGCTTTGCGATAAGCGGATGAGTGTTGGTAAATGCGATTACCAAAGCCAGAGTTGATCTGCGCTCCAACCAACTTCTCAAGAACTTTACTTACACATGGTAAGAGAGTTATGGGCCGGTAGTTTTCCTTTGCATTCCTGTCATCCTTTTTGTATACTGGGGCCCAATGCCCATACTTCCATTCACTAGGCCATGCATTCTTGTTAATACAAGAATTGAACAAGGTGGTTAGTGGAGCGGATAATTCATTAGCACCTGTTTTTAAAGCCTTTGAAGGAATTCCATCAGTGCCGGTGGCTTTGTTTATGTTCAGCGAATCGAGAACTGCAAGGACTTGTCCCTGTGTAACCAATTCGATTTCGATGGTCTGAGTGGAATTCCTATTTTCATGTTGTATCCTCTGAACACAAGGATGGTCTCTAAAGTCCTCTATTGACTTTCTTTCAATCGCTGTACCGCCAATGCCATCCGCCAAGGTAGCAAAATGCTCAACCAATTCCTCAGCCACTTGTTGTTGATTCGTTATCATACTGCCGTTTATTTTTAAGTGGATGTCGTTTCTTTCAGTACAGCTCTTAGAGCCCAAAAATGGCTTGAAAGTTTTGAAGAACGCCTTGGGATTGATTTTCAAATCGTTTGACTTATTATACCAGTACTGTTTGATGGCGATTCTTCTTTGTTTAGTGGCCTCGTTTCTGGCTTTACGTCGTAATTCCCAATTTTCTGGCGTTTTGTCTTTCAAGTACTTGTCATTTGCTTTGCGTTTAGTTCTAATCGCACTTTTCCAATGAGACGTCATGTAGGGCACATCTTTATCACGCACACGCATTTTTTTCACAGGTGCCACTTCGTCCAGTATATTGTTCATAAGTGCATTCCACACGTAAACTTGATCGTCGACGTCATCAAACAATTGTCCAACGTGCCATGGGGCAGAGGACAAAAGCTGTTTATGATGTTCAGGGTCAAAGTTCTTATAGCTCCTAAATGTGATGACCTTTGGTTTGTTGTGATTTATTTTCTGCTTCAGGACACCGTAAACAAGGTCGTGATCACTTAAGCAAGGATGGTAATTACCAGATAGCTGGAAGCTATCCGGTCTATTAGTGAGCAAAACATCTATTAAACTCTCTGTTATAATTATTCCACGCTTTTCTATTCTTGTTGGCTTAGTAATTAGAAATTCAAAACCTTGTTCAACTTCCAAATCGAGAAGCAGTTTACCTTCAGGTTTGTCAGGGCGAAGTCTGTTCAGATTTAGGTCGCCAGTAACTACAACAGAATTTCCGTTCAAGCTTGCCCAGTTACAGACATAACTGAGTTCGCTTTCCAACAGTGTTTGATATTCGCCACACAGAGCTCTCGGGGGACGATAGATACCAACAATTACCATATTGTCCATATCTGTTTTGATTTCGAAGGCAATTATTTCCAGTGTCTTGAAGGATTTATCAGGTTTAAGCTGTGTCCTGACTAGCGATTGAGATATTAAAGCCATAATTCCACCGCCGCCCTTTTTCCTATCATTTCGGTAGAGGGAGTAGTTCGGAACTTTGAACTGAGCGTTGGGATAGCTCGCGTCGATCTTGGTCTCGCTTACGAACATTATGTGGGCGTTGATTTTCTTGATTACTTCGGTCAGTTCTTCAAATTTATTTTGGATGCTGTTAATGTTCAAGTGGGCAATTAAGAAATCCTTATTGTGATGTTTCCTAAAGAGTTCTAGCTGATCGTTTTCAGAAGTAATTTCTGTGACATCTCTGTAAAGAAACTGCTCGAAGACCGTATTTTGAGTTGTTTCCGCTTGATACTCCTCGGCTGGAATTAGTGTATCACCTTCAGAAACTTCTTCAAAGAAGGAGTCCGTTAGTGGCGGTAGAGCACAAGCTGGACAGGTCCAATCAATATCAGGCTGGTCTAAGTAGTACTGGAAAATAGTCCGAGACATATTGAGGCATTTAGCGTGTGACCAGTTTCCACATGTGGCACACAAGATGGCGTTTTGGTTGTTTCTAACTGCTTTGTGGCATTCACTGCATGGGTATTTCAACATAGACTTCTTCCCTTTCGGGCCAGGATTTATGGCCACGTCCCCGCACAGAAGCACATCCCTTTCCAGATTGAAGCTGCTTATTCCTTTGACCGTGTGTGGGACCCTCCGTGAGGTAAATCGTTTAGCACGAGGTTTAAATCTTCTGTGGTTTGTCAAATATGAGACGAATTCAGGTGCAATAAACGTCTTTGAGACGCTTGTAGCCTGGTAAGACCCTAAAAAGTCGCCACTTATACTGTCTTGGATTAAAACTGCTGTTCCAAGCAGGAGTACTAGAAATTGTAGCGAGCTCGCCCAGGTCGGTCCAGCCGCCATGACAGCTAAACAAAGCGTTTTAGGATGAAAGACGAAGGGTACAAACAGGAAAATGTTTGAAAATAGTTACAAAACATGTGTACTTAGCGCATCTTGAATGCTGGAGCAGGAATGCTCTTAGCACGAGGAAAATCTCCCAGTCTAGTATAATATGGACTTTTGGACCAATGCAAGAGGACTGTTGTTCGTGGACTCTAAAGACTTAATATTCCAAGGTCTTATGTTCAGTGCAGACAATGCAAACAGAGTTGAAGCTTGAGTGTTCGTTGGGAAGACTTTGGCCGAAGGGAAACCGGTTGCAGACGAGTCGATAGCAGTGTTGTTTGACCCGACAATCTAAAGAAACGAAACAAAATAGGATAATTTGCAAAAATGCTTATTATATGGCAAACTCTGCGAGCGGGCGATTTAGAATCATTTTACTCGCATGGAATGCTCGTTTTGATACCTTATAAATCTATGAGATGTTTTTGTTTTAATTAAATAAAAACTTTATATTTTTTTTGTAAAGATATCGCAAAGTACCTCCAAGGGGCAGTCGCAACCGGGAAACAATAACGATTTTCGTGAGATTATTTTGTAATTTTCCGAATCAATTTTTGACTAAGCCTCTGCGATCAAAGTTTCTGGATCATTCGGCCTCATAGCTCCAGTTTTGCGTCGCAGTAAATAAAAGCTGTGATCTCAGCTTCAATTTTGGTGAATTGCTTTTACAACGCCCTCCTTCCCCTAGTCGGCCGGCCACGTAGTCTCAGACAGGTACTTTATTTCTCTTTATTTTTAAGGCTATACTGTATTCAATGTTTCTTACCTCTGCCCCCATCCCTGTGCCTTGGTCATGGCGTGAGCCATTTTGATTACGAGAAATTAGTTCCAAGCGTAAGGTACGGTCTGTACTGTGTCTGGCCACGGAGGAGTCTGTCAAACCGTTAGCTTCGTTTTCCATGATACATGTATTTGCAACTGAAGGAAACCAATGTTGTACAAACAGAAAGTAGAGTAGGAAAAATTAAAAGTGACTGGATGTAGTTTTCCGGCTACATTCACTACACTCATGAGCCAAGTTCCACCATTTGGAGTCGAACGATTTTCACTTCTGCATTGTACGTGTCATACGTGAGATTCAATCATTTACGAGGGTCCCCAATGGATTCTTTAATCCCGCGATCCCAACTAAAATTTTTCACAATTCCGTAATCCCGAAGGTTTATACCAGCCAATCCCGATCCCAAAGATTTCATAAAATTTTTCTTAGTCCACGTTCAGACAATCGTCCCGTTATGTATGAGTAAAGTAGTAATTTGCACATCAGTGAGTATCCGTGGATTTGAAGCTGGTGGGACTGAATTATTCTCAGAACGATTCACTCAATTCATTTATAGTTTTGAAATATTCACATTGTAAATACTGGCGCACTGCTTTACTCTCCCCAAAGGCCACATATGTTAAAAAAATATGTCCTAACTGACGGTACCTGTTTAATACCTTGTTGGTTGTAAAGTACTTACTTGATCAGTTTCGGGATTAGTCTCGGATGTTTCGATCCAGTATATTGTCTAACTCGACAAAATTATAACCGCAGTTTGTTTCAGTCAGGTTTGACTTCTCAGTTCTACACGAATACTGACATCAGTTCTACAAAAACATTGTTTTTAAATTCATCGATCAGTCAATGATCTATGACAAAAGATTTATTTTTCCTAAAAACTCTCCCAAAGCCATAAAAAAAACCACCAGGAGACGCTTTCATCGTTCCTGTAATGTGGTTATTAAGCATGACCTTCTACCTCCCTTTTGGCCACACTGCAGATTTCACACGTGCAATGTCTTCTGTGTTCTTTGTTTTCACTTGACTTAAAAAAAAATTGAAAGAAAATGAAGTTTCTCATCAACAGAAGGCAACATTATATTTATTTTTGACGTCGGTGCACTTTTAATGAATGTCTGAATGTCTGGCTGTCTGAACGTGGAAGTTTATTCGAGCGCCAATGACAATCAATCCCACTGAATCATTTGAAGCCTAACGCAAAATTTGCCACGCATCGATCATATGGTATTGTAATTTTTTGCATACAGCATGCGACCTGTTCTTCTCATACCAAAATAACTTCACATTTCTATCCGCAACGCAAATTCTATGGGGTCAGACCTTTTGCTGTTACATCACATTACCTGATGCATTAATTTTCGATTGTATAAACAGCAAATTTTTTCTTGATACCTCTGTGCAAATGAAGTAGTCCGGAAGTAAGCTTAGTGGTTCTGTACTAATCGATGAGCCAAGACACGTACAGGCATATTTAGAATTACTCTAAATAATTTGTTCATATTTTTACGTGCCCTGCGGGCTCGTCAAAATACTCAGCGATACTACACACCAAGACGTCCAATAAGATATATTTGTCGCTAGAGGGAAGTTTGGTTTCTCAACCAAACGTATGCGGCGGATTTTTCAGGAAAACTGGTCATTTTTTTTCGCTATCAAAGAAGTATACACTAAGAGTTTCTTTTTGCTGATCGCTTTGGTGGAGAACCTGAATGCAAATAATATGAATCTGCTCGCAGCTTCCGCGGATATTGACGTTATGACTCGCAGAAACAAGGAATGGAGCTTCGAGCTCTCCGGAACCCAGAACACGAGCATATAAGGATTTTGGGAGTCTCCACTTGTATCGCTGAATTACAATCAGTATATCAGGATGAGTTATTCTTCAAAGTTAAAAAAAATCATCGGATTATCTTTTTTTAACTTTGATTCTTTTGGTTTTTCATTATTTGCATTCAGGTTCTCTACCAAAGCGGTCGGCAAAAATATTATTTTTGTGTGCTTCTCTAATAGCGAAAGAAAATGACTAGTTTCCCCGGAAAATACACCGCATACGCTTTCGAGTGCTTTCTACGGAGACTTCATATTCACTTTAGTTACCATTTTCCCCAGTTACAGTTCACTTCATTCAAGGATACATGGCCTTGCAGTTTTAAAAATAATTAGGGAATGAAGAATGAAATCAAAAGTTTACAGAAATGGTCACCGCAATGTGCACCGCAATTTCTTTGTTTGCACGGTTAAAGCAACCAGAAAAAGAATACCAAAAAAAAAAACCATCGATGAGATGTCGCACCTTCAAATTCACTAATTATTTCAAATAGGAGACATTCGTGAGCTCAGGGGTACTGGATTTATCAATTTGACTTTCCAACTGTCCCCAAAAACGCAGCCACTCTTGTGGTGTCCGTCAAAGTTGATCCCCACGTTTTAAAATTTACGACTTGATCACGTGAAACAATGTTTCTTTTAAAATTAGCATATGTCGCATCATGGGTATCAAACAACTATCTAATTTTTATACAATAATTTTAGCACTAATTTTTATTACATATACATCCTCCACCGCCGAATCTTTATTATCTTTTGAAATATTTATTTTTTATCAAAGACTTATAGTAAGCATATCCAGATTGTTCTTCCTGATAACTTTTTACAAAATCTGTAGATCATGCACAGAGCGACCTTAATTTTTTTTATAACTTAAGGCTAGGAGGCTCTGAGCCACATAAATGTATTTTTTTGTGCTAAAAGTGGAGAGTACCGAACTCCTTAGATACTTGTGTTCCCCTTCCTCAGAAGATCCATTCCTGATCAGTGGAAATCTTATGTTGTTTATTTATTTTGGATAAACACATGAAGAAAGTTTTTTTTTTCTTTGATTCGGTCAAAACTATTGGACACAGAAAAAATGCTGAGTCATAAAGAGTCGAGGCTCAGAACTTCGCGCCCTGCATGATGCTCTGCAAGCGAACCACAGAGACTCCAAGATGAGCTAAGTCATTTCTGCATACTGCTAAGATCAACAATGTTGAAAGCATCATGTGCAGAATAAGAAAAATGATGAATCTTCAGCTCGGTAGGAAAATGAAGAAATATTTTTTCCGCCTCCAGTGTTACGAGCGTGGAACGAAGAAAAAAAATAGGACTCACCGTCTTTCTTACAACATTAACTCACACACAGCTTTTGTCACTGCCGATCCTAGAAGTTTGCGGGATGTGTCACATGTGAGCTTAGTAGGAGCTGACTAAGCTTACAGTCTCTGTGGCCCAGTGATAGAGCGTCTGAGCGTGGCCTGACCCAAAGATTTAACTCATGAGCTCTCTAATTTCTATTTGTTAACCCTCAGAGACAGTTTAGAGCTTCGAATGATTGAGATATAAATTCCGAGGAGTTTATTGTCCTACATTACAAGCATGGCTTCTTGACAGTTTTTCTAAACATCGTCATACTGATCCAAACGTTGAAATTTCAAGCCCACGATACTATTTCTATTTTACGACGACCATGTGACTGAAAGGTTCAATTTGAGAATACGGTGGAACTTTAAATTCTTTAACTTCAAATTTATTTGAGATTACGCCTTTTTAAGGAAAATAATAAACAAGAAACTTACTAAAAAGCATGCTGTATTCTTCATAAAGCTAATTCACTAAATCATTCGTTATTCATAATTTTATACTATATATGATGATTTGATTCAGCACTCAACCCACAGTAGGCGACGTATTTACGCAGTGTTTACATACATACATACATACATACATACTTTATTGAGACTCCCTTCAACAGGGCTTTTCAGTCACAATGTGAACTATTACATAATCCTGGTAATAAACTATTACATAATACTGATAATTAAGGACACTTTTTTACATTAACTCAATCAAATTCAAAATTTATCAAGAGTAACTCAAAATATATCCAAAATTACTTCGTATGGAACATATTATTAAAAATTATATGCTTAAAATTATATGCTTATTTCTTTGGTGCTCTTAGTATTGTCGGCAAGCCCATTCCATTCCCCTGGACAACGAAAGTAAAATGTCCTTTGTCCTATTGACAATCTACTTCAAGGGACCACAAAACTGTTACCTCCCCTTGTGTTCTTGTTGTGAACTGCTGAACGTTTAACAAAATATTTACCTAAATAATCTGGAGCTAAGCCATTTACACATTTAAATTCTAAGACTATGCCATTTACACATTTGAATTCTAAGACTATGTCATTTACACATTTGAATTTTAAAACTAAGTCATTGAATAACCATGTAAGAGATCTCTGTACCTAAGAGATATGGTCGAACTACCCTAAACCTGATTCAACTCTTGAAGCAAAATTTTGTACAAATTTCAGTTTGAGCAGATAACGTTTAGATGTGTTTCCCCACACTGAGGGAAAATAAAAATAGTTTACTAAAAACATAGCTATTTATAAGTAATAAAAGTACTTTCTTGTCTAAAAGATGTTTAATTCTACTTATCTCTACTAACTGTTCATGCAACTAGAGGCTGTTTTAGTGATATGTACATCATTGGCAAGATATTGAGTAATATATACCCCGAGATTCTTGGCAAATGAAACTGGTGATATAGTTTTGCCTAACAGGGATAAGAAGATATGAGGTAGCCTCTTAATAAGTTGTGCTCACCGTTCAAGCGGAGTGTGGTCTGGTAACAACCAATGAACGAGAAGTTATACGAAAAGTAAATGCAAAATTTTACGTTCCATTTTATACATTTAGTCTTTTTGGTTGCCCAGGAGCCTGTTTATTGAAAGTTCTGGTAATCATTGGTCCGAAAACGCTGTTTTTCAGATATATATGGCTTTGAAATTCAAATTATGGAAAATCTAAGAAAACGAAACAGAACGGACTGCGTTTTGAGCGAATACCCGCTATACTATTCCTTAGATTAAGATTTAAGAATATGACTCGAGAAGTTGCCAAAATTTGCAAGAAAAGAGCCCCTGGGATAAGTCGATTCATTATAGAATACATGCTGTGTTGTATAGTAATACGTTTAGAATAATCGATGATATTAGTTTAGTTTTTTCCTTGTTTGTTTGCTTTTTTTTTCGCCAGAGTATCGGTAAAAACGTACCGATCAATCAAACTAAAAAAGGTAATACAGTAGATAATTTAAACTCGGAGCAAGATTTGATTGTGTAGTCTGATCGTCTGGGCGTGATAAGTCCTGAGTAGGTAGTGCCTTCGTACCCGGACGATCAGACAACTCCCACATTGAATTTAAGTACCAAAGCTGTTATTGAATTTATGCTAAAAGTCAAAAAAAATCTGAACACCTAACAATTATCAAAAGGAAATAAAAAAACATCCTTTCAGCTCCATTCCCAGGGTCCTCTCCATGTTATCAACGAGGTGGGAAGAGAAGGGCCTGGGATGGACGTTGTCATTCACTCATTGCCATTTGTCTGACCGTATAGAGGATGGCGACAAATTGGGCAGCTGCGACTGCAAATTTAAAGGAAACATTTCAGGTGAATGCAACTTAAACTTGTTTGAATTAAACGCGAGAATATTCAAGTCAAGATCACCGTCAAATCACGGGTAAAAGTAAAGGAGACTGCAAAGCTCACAATCGATCCAGCATTGCTGTGGATTCAGAACCTTTCCAAGGCTGCATGCAAAGAGAGCTTTTCTCTCGAGTGTCGTTAGACCAAAACCCAGCTAATTACAACTGCCAATCAGAAGTAAACATCACAAACCAGTGAGAGATTCAGTTGAAACAAAGACAAGTTCCTTCAAAGGAGAAAAGACGCAAAAAGCAATGATTGATTTTGACACTCCAGTTCACGCAGCCAGAAGTCGAGAGACGGGCAACTGACTCCTACAAAAAAGCCCTCGCCACAACTCCATATTATATTATTATTATTATTATTATATTATATTATATTATATTATTATACTTACACGCCATTCTGTATCATTGCAATGGCACACTCTCTATGAACCTTGTGTGAGCATGGCAGGATTTGACAACCGCTGAATGCGTCCTGAAAATAAATGTTCCAAACGTCCATTAAGTAAAAGTATTTACAGGTATTATCTACCGGTTTAACTTTTACGATTATTTCTTTTTGGAATAGTTCTATAAAAACGCTTTCTTTTGTACTCAGAACCTAACAAAGAAAAGCGCCAGCGCTCTCTTAGTCTATTGCTAGATTTATGACGCAAACATTGCACTTACCAAATTTCACTTTCATTGTCGAGAACAAGGCTATAATTACAACAAAAGGAAAAAAGCTATTGGCCAATATTTCCTCTTGCAAAGCTGATTTAGTGTGCAACCAGTGTCACGGGTGTCTTTAGACAGATTTTTTGAAACCCATACTCCTACACTCGCAGAAAGGAAACGTTCCAATGTATAAATGATACGAAGAGACATTTACCTTATTGGAATCCAGACTTAACCGCAATGAAAACAGTGCAGTTGCTTTACATTAATCGGGGATAAATATTGACCTACAAAGCTAAATTTATAGGTAGAACACAAAAAATAACCTAATGTTTCACAACTATATGAGAACACAAAATGTTAATTATACAGTACAGAGGATGACAAAATCCACAAACACGGACAATCATCTAACAAGTAGACGCGACAAACAAGAAACGATGTGAAACGAACAAGGCAGAGAAATTCCCCTCTCTGGGAGTTTTGCAGCAACACAGTGTTAGCACGAAGAGTAAGCCATTACCTCCAAACAGATGCAGCACTCATCATGTCCTGAATTTTCTCGACAAGAATGTCTTCCCTCCAGCCGTTTGTCCAGACAGACGTTACACACATCACAGTGGAAGGAGCGGTCTTTGAAGATGCTGAAACGAAAACAGGAACTTCACTTCGCAGGTAAATACTCGATGAAAACTTAACATGACTCGTAAAGAAAATAAATTTCTAATGCAAAGTGAAAACCCTATATTTCAACTTGATTCGATCTAATGAAAGGAAACCTGATGCCTAGGAGGAAACAAAAACTAGCATTCAGTACTGCTCAATATTTTCTTATTACGATTTTGCAATGAAGGATGAGAAAACACAGGAAGTGGTGAGTTTCATGTGCGTATCTATCAGGGCGTCTCTCTCTCCTATTAAGCTGCTCTCACCCTGAGGCTAGCGCCAGAATTTTCTCTCCATTCATACGGTAACACTCGGCATTGAAGTAGGCCAATTTCTTCGTTACTTTTTGAAAAACAGGAATATCATGAAACATACAAAAAAACGAGGAATTTCGTCATAAATATCGTTTCACCTACCGGCAGATACCACATTTTAGGCAGTGATATGGATTTTTGTCTGTGCCCGTGAAGTGTTTACACATAGAGCAGAAATATGCTGAGAACTTTGTTTTACATCTAGCACAGGTTTGGGCGTCCTGGTTGATCTTAAAGGGGAAGAAAGCATTAAAGGAAATCGCATGTAGTCTAAATGTAACTTGTCTATTTCCACATTTATGAGATTTTGAATAAATAATATGACTAAATACCTCTTGTTGATGGCTACAAACCGAGCACTCAACATAACACGCCTCTCTTGCTTTGGAATTATCATTTAGACACCCAGAGTTGTTATGACAACGATGACAGGGAAAGAACTTTCCACAGCATGGGAACTTGACACGGCAGAGCCGCTTATAATGTTCACAGAGCCATTGTCGATCCTCAGCACCAGCTGAGGTTTGCGTAGGTGTTTCTCCTCCACCGCTCGTGGGGTTGCTGACTTCTTCTCTGTCATTCCTGCGTTCCGTTTGTCTTGTCACACTTGCCTCCTTATATCTTCTTTCACGTGCTCGTTGTCCTTTCCTGGCCCGCTCTTCTTTTTTCCTTCGCTCTTTTTCCTTCATTGCCTTTTCTTTTTCTTCCCTTTTTTTCAAGGTTTTTTCGACAAGGGAACAAGTTTCGGCCACTCGTCGCTCTAGGTCAGCTAACGAATCACAATTTGAGAGAGACGGTAGCCCTTGGTTAGCCGTGTCCTGATCCGCAAGTATTCTTGTTTCCCATGTCAGATTTCTGTTCATGGCTGCTCGTGGCAGAGCGGAGATTTCCATTTCAGGGGAGACCAGGCCTTGTGCAATTGAAGTGGTATTAGATAAACATGCAGGATTTCCATTCATCACTTTAAAATCAGAGTTTCTCTCCCGTTGTACTTCAGGATCAGTACGTTGATCCTCGACTTTTCTCTGCTGTGGTAAAAGGGGTGTTTGCTTCAACGGCGTGTCACCATTGATCAAAGCATGCGAAGGTATCACTACAATTTGCGGGTCATCGCAGGAAAGGGTTTGAAGATGCTCCGAACCGGTGCAGGGAAGAGAAAGTAGAGGACGAGCAGTCACCGGTAGACCCCAAACTGCAGGGTTAGGATCGAAGGTGTCATAGGGGTTTGGACCTTGTGCGTTAGCAGATACTTTTGAACTTTCACAATGAAACGATGGGGCTTGAAAGTAGTAATTAGCTTGATAGCCTTGCTCATTAGTGAAACAAGATGACCTTTGATGCCTTGAAAAAGTGTTGGAAGACCCTTCATTGGTGTTTTCCGCTGTATTCCCCATGTCATCGATAGGAGTGGTAATGCTACTATCATCTGAGTGACGAGCAAGGAAGCAAGGCCTTATACCAAAGAAATTTGATTCTTTTTTATCTATGGTGTTTCGCATATCATCTCGTGGTCTAAACTTCTCAGGCTTTGCGTCCTTGTCGTTCCAGTAAGTAACCGATTTACGATTCCCGTAACGTCGGCCCCTATTAAAGAAAGATGGATCTTGTCCTCCACCCTTTAAGCCTAGAAATTCCCCAGGCCTTGTGTTGTGACTTCTTCCTGATAAATACTCTTTATTCTTGTTTTTCCTCTCTTGAGAAACTTTCAGTGACTTCGAATCGACTTCACGTTCCATATTTCTCTGGTTTTCATTCGTGGCATCATTGCACCAACTGGTTGCGGCAGCGGCACCACCATGTCCCTCCATCTGGTCTGTAATTCGTGGAAGGTTGTCAGTAACACCACCTTTCCCTTGAAAAGGTGGTTCAGCAGATCTTGTATATGTATTGAGGGACTAGAGATTGGGGGATTAGTCATTAGGGGACTAGTCATTGGGGGATTAGTCATTGCAGAGAGAGTATAAAGGGGGACTATAGAAAATTGACTGCCGATCAAGCAACCCCTCCCCCCTCCCCCCCTCCAGTGATAAATATTGACAGGTTCTTAATCGAGCCTTCTAAAAATCCACGACTTCACCATTGCAATTCATGTGACCTTTTATCAAGTTATCTCATACATACCGTTTCGTCACCCCATGTCGTCCAACACTCCTGAGTTTGTTTACATTTGGATCAGTAGACAGAACATAACCTACAAACACGAGAAACAGGGCGAAAGCTTTAAGATGCTCTTATTTGAGAAGGAAAGAGAACCCCTAACAGAGTACTATACACTTTAAGAAGATTAGCTCGCTGATTCCTGTTTGGACTGGACGCCATTATACGATTTACTATTGGTGTTTATATTAATCAAGTCAAAGGGCTATCAATGGACAGTGGACCGTTGACAATTATTACGCTAATCAATCATTTTGTAATTCAATCAATCAGCATTGGGTTAAATATTGACTGGACCATTGGACCATTGGACCCTTGGACTATTGTATTAATAAATGTTTCTGATCAATGGAGCTTTTTACCGGATCGAACAAATTATTTTGAGCAGTTTTTCGATTGAGTATTTTCATGTCAAAATTTTTGCGCTGGGTCGTAGGTTTCTTTAATTTTTTCGCCATGCGAATGCGAAGCTGGCACCAGAACATTGAACTATAATTGTTACAGAAAATATCGCCAATTTCCGTTTTCGATCCTCCTCTGTTAAGTCACGCGTGTGCCTTTAGACTTGTGCCAGTGCTCACTGATTATCACGAATCATCCAAGAGTTACTTCACGTTTCCTTTTGTGTGTGCAGTATATCATTTCTAAATTTATCTATCTTTCTTTTGTCATTTATCTTTACAGAAGACAAAAATCACGGAATTTCCAGTCATTAGCATAGTATTCACAAGCGCTATCGCAATTTTAACGTTTACACCTTTGTTGTGAAAACATTGTTGGAGCAATCGTACAAGGCAGTCTTCTTTCTTTCAGATACACAGTTTCCCCCTATAAGATACACCCACGTCACGCTTAGAGTTGAGTGTCATGTCAGGCATTTCACTCTGATCCGTAAATTGACGGTTAAAACAGTGCAGCTTCAGTGCTGGATCAATTTTAAAATGACAGGCTTGAATTTCATCGCTGAAAGGCGTTTTTTTTTTCTTTCACATAGCCGATGTATTGATTCATTAAATGCACACAAACGCAAATTACGGAATTACCTTACACCACAAGGTTCACAAGCAGACATAAAACTGAAGATTATCACTTCCTTGTGAAACACTTGAGTGAAATTTCTCATAACATGTTTTAAGAAAGCAATCACGGAAACATACGCAGAATTAGACGTCAGAAAAAATCAACACTATAGTAAGCGTCTGTTACAAATTTTTAAAAGTTTGTTACCTCGTTCGTCCGTTTTCTCAGAACTCACCAGCAGCTTCCGGCCCAGTGCAGTTACATCTCACTAATTAAGAAAGACCTCGCAGACTTAGTTTGCAGGCAAGTCTTCAGTTCATATTCCGTTGTAAGAGTAATGGCGAATTGGCGCCAAATCGGTTTTGTTACACTCTCATAATTGTAAGCATGCATGTTTTTGAAGATGAGCATGGTTAAATATCAACGCAAATAAGCTATAAATTTTACAAATACAAAACTTCAGAAATCAGCAATGATATCTACCACAGAGAAATCATCAGTTAGGTAGAAGTGGAAACTGCACCACGTGCTGGCGCGGAATTGCGACCTTCTAATGTATTAAAGCGAAGTAACGATTTGCGCGCCGAAATTTGAATTTCTTTGCGTGTGTACTAAAAATAGTACCCTTCAGCTACTTAAGTAGCTGACATACCTCGGGCATGCAGCCAAGTATTGTGGTTTCTATTCACAAGAGAAGCGTTCGTAATTGTAGTAAACTGACCATCCGATGGTTTTGTGCGCTTTGACGGGTTGCCCGACAGTGTTGTAAGCATGAGAGTTTTAAAGCTCCGATCCGCTGGTCGTTCTTGTAGCTACAATGTCTCAGTTAAGGTGGAAGTAAAGTGAATAAATATTTAGGTGAACAAGCAACGTACTTAAGGTTGTTTACATTTTCAATAACAAACTTCATTTCAACTGGCTACTTTTCCCTACAAGTAAATATATCGTCCTGAAGCCAAAATAGATTCGTTTCGTTTTATGAGAAAACGAAAAAAATAATACTTGATGTGTAACAAAATTTCGAATGCAACTTTTTTCAGTCAGCCAAAACGAGCGTTTACTGTTCTCATTTCACATTTAATCGTAGACAATCGCAGTGACTCTTAGTGTCACTTCCAATTTTTTAACTCGAATGGTGGTGGTCAATGCAACGATGCTGAATAAAAACTGAGTAAAACAGTTTTTTTTTTAATCAAGTTCGCGTGTTGAAGGTGACGTAGCTGTCTGGTCGTTATGTTATTTTACAGTTGTATTAACCCTGGACCTAATAATGTTACTCGATACTGTCAGGGCCCTGTTACTCCAAGCCAAAGATCAATTTCTCACGTTTCTGGAACTTTAGAACATACTGTTGTTAACTCAAGTTATGCTGATTATGCTGATTTTACTAGTGACATTTCGAATCGCCGTTACGTCGATCCACTCCAGGGAAGAACTGTACCGCCTACGTCCATATACAACTTCTACATCACAGTTTCGTCCACCCTTTAACCACCTGTACAGAGGAATGGCTTATCGAGGTTGCAGAGCAGGCAAATGGGTCAAGGAAAAGCGGGATAATTTGCTAATAAATATTCCCATTGCGGGTTCGCGTTGTCGGTCACGCAACGTCAACAAGCTACACGACAATACGAAATCAATCGACAATCGATCGTTCATTTCATTGAAAATTGTGAAAGACTCCCACTTCTCCAAAACAGTTCCGAAATGTATGGTTATACACGCTCGCTCTCTAGCGAAAGCTGATGATGCTACCCCGGCCTTGTATGCTGAACTGAGTAGTAATAATATTGACAACTGCTTTGTTTCGGAATCTTGGCTAAACAAGAAAATCTTGTCCCAGTTGATCTGCCTAGATGGCTATGTGATGGTTAGAAAAGACCGGACTGGAATACGTACTGGCAGAAGAGTCGCAGCTATCTGCAGAAAGGACTAGAAGATTAAAGTGATCAACGCCAATGAAAAGTTTGAGTCTGAAACCCTCTGGTGCAAAATAACAACTCCAAATTCCGAATACTACGCTGCGAGCATTTACCATCCACCTGACCCCATTTACGAACCTGCTGATTTACGGCATAGGGCAAAATTATGGACTGGACCATTTTTTGGACCATTTTTTTGGACCATTTTTTTTGGACCATTTTAAAGAGGGGAGCACACCATTAGTACTGAGGGAGGGGTAAGATAAAGTCTATCAGTACTGAGGGTGGGGCGGGAGGCAGAGTGTTATTACTCAGGGAGGGGTGTGAGACGAAATATTACTACGCAGGGAGGGGTGGGAGGTGGTTGTAATAGTAAACACTACTGGTTGGAGCTTTTACTCGATCGTTCAAACAATTTTAATTGGTTTTTCGACTGAGTTTTTGTATGTCAAAATTTTAGCGCTGGGCCGCGGCTTCATTTTTTTGTCATGCGAAAGCGACTAGTTTTCCTAGAAAATCCGCCGAATACGTTCGATTGAGAAACCATAATTCCCTCTTGTCGTCATATATTGTTCATTTTTATTCAAAGCGATGCCTTGACAGTGTTTGTTTTCTTCGGGTATTGTGCTTTACTTTATTTTCGAGAGTCTTATTGATGGTGATTTCGAATTCTCTAAACACAGAGACTTCACGGTTAAAGCAAGAATCGTTGACATAGTAATCTTAGTTACCTTTGTTATTCCAATCATAGTTCACTTCGTAGGTTCCTTGAATCAAGGGAACAAAGACCTCGTGTTTAAAAAAAATTTTAAAAAAATAATAATAAAATAATTGAATGAAACATGAAATCAAATGTTTTATCACCAGAGTAATTCTAAAAGACGTAATGCTACTTTTCTATTTCTCGTCCCAATATCACTTTCCACCCCGACATTTTTCCGACCAACGTAGAAAGCGAAGTTAGCGAAACGGACGAAATAATATTGGTTATATTGTATGTATACATATAATTACCCAGAGCGACTTTGCACTGTTCGATCGAGAGGTAGCAATGTTATATTTCAGTGGTAAACAATTTGGTATAACTATAACTATATTTATCGAAGAGAAATATGAAAAAATATAGGACTGCCGGACGTTTAGTCACTTCATTGCAGGTACGTCAGCGACACTGACAGTTTGCGTCACAATTCTTATTTCCTCCTCTGCATGAACAACAACCTCGACCACTCTTTCGAGCACAAGCACCTCTCCACGGACAGGAAACTTCAACTGACCCTTGGTCCTATTTAACAAGGATGGCAAACTTTAAAAAAAAAATGGTGTATGAATGAAAACGTGGTGGATCAACATTTTCACCTTTTTCGGAATGCTCGCAAGAATTTTCGTGTTCCTCTTTAGCAACAACTGATCCATAAACGTTTACTGCCTCAGAATCTACTAAATCAATGGATTCATCTAATTCCATACCGGATTAAAACGTATAAAACTGTTTTAAACAGAATTATTTGACAAGCTCACCTCACTCATCCGAGAAAATGCAAAGGTTATTTCAAGACAATGTGACGAGGTAAAAATAACTGACCAATCAGAGGCGCTATTTCAACAAAAGCGGTGGTTCAAAACAAAAACACACAACCGCGTTGAATCAAGGTTAATTGGAAATGGGCATTTAAAGCGGGAAAGCCCCGCGGATGTTTTGGGTGAATTACAGAGCGGAAGACCTACTTCTTCGATGAAATCAGTTCTCATCAAAATTTAACAGGATTCCTTTTTCGCGTAAGTTTTACAAGACACACTTTAAGAAAAATTGTTTTGAAGTCTTCATCTCTCCGAAAACTTGCGATAAACCTTCGAACAATCTCTGAAGTCTCGAAAGATTAGACAGATCGATAGTGCCAGCAGTCGTTTACGTAACCTCTCGTAGGTCTGTCCGGTTGTAAAAGAGTAAAAGGCATTCCAAAAGGAAAAGGTTTGTAAAACAAATACAATCCGTAGATCTTTCTGAGCACCCGAAGTCGAGGCTCGCATACTAGTTATTTTTCCCGGGAGAAATATAGTCAACTCCCTATAACTTGAACCTTGGAGGGAAACTGAAAAAGACTCGGGAGTTGAAAACAAAGGACTGCAAATAAGGGGAAAATTGTGTTTACTGTTTTTCTACTGTTACAAAGATTGAATGGCTGCTTCAAAATGAATTAAATGGTTTGGACTGCAGTACACTGTTTGTTTTGATTTGTCACGTATTGAAGGACGTGGTTTACCGTGGTTCGAGTTATCGAAGGTAAAACATAAAGAAAATTACCCGAAGGGCTAGCAGGAGATTTGAGTTATCGAGGGTAAAATTGCAATAAATGTATGAAGGGCATCAAGGAGAAATCATGATTAATTTTGGTTCGTGTTGGTGCGATGTCGAGTTAGGGAGGATTCGCGTCATCGGAAGTCGACTGCAATTGTAACAGTAAATCGGTTACAGATTGGACATGAAAGCAGATACAGTTTTGTTGATTTAAAACAAAAACGTGACTGATCTAGTGAGATAAAATTCTCTTGATTATGACTTGAAGGAAAACGGAAGAAAAACTGAAAGCACTTTCTTTATCCGAGACAATTTACAAATACACTCTCTCCGGGAGACACTCTATGTTTACGAGATATTTGGCTGTTAAAATCAACTTTGCATATCCAAGGACTGACTAATTTAGGCTTATTAAAGAAGCTTCCTGTTACATATGTTTAACTTGACCGTCGTTAGGACAAGTAAATACACACATGTATAAATAAATCATAACATAGTCCTTAAAGTATCTAACATATTTTCTATGAACATTGTATCAATTATTAATTTTAAAAAATAATAATTCAACCAGTCAGTTAAGCCAAAGAGCATTTATGTTAATCGTGAAGGTGCTGAGATTTGTCATAGTTCTGATATCCCTAGGTAGAGAGTTCCAGTCTCTTACAGCAGCGAATTCAAAAGTTTTTTCACCAAAACCCGACTTAGCATTAGGAACATTCAGTAAAAAGTCATCTCTCAAAGAGCGAAAGCGAATACTAGAACGTTTTATAAGTTTGTCTTGGAGTTGCTTTGGACAGTTGATATCATTCACTATTTTAAATGAAGTTATAAATCAAAACAAACGTCTACAGTTGAATAGAGTCAAGATCTTTACTTGGTCCCATACAACTTGTGAACATGTTCTCCTATTCTTGCAGAAAATAATTCTTAAGGCTTGATTTTGAAGTCTCTCCGACTTGTTAGACAATTTCTTTGAACAGTCCATACAATACAAGCATAATCCAGAATGGGAAGGATAGTAGCCTTGTAGATCTTAATTAGTACATCAGAACAGAGGAAACAAGATAGCCAGTTTAACAGCTTCAGTTTGGGATAAGTTCGTTTGCAAATATGATCAGTGTGAGGTGACCAATTTAGTGAACTGTCTACAAACACTCCGAGATACTTACAATATGACACTTCTTTAAGTTTGTGGTCATTTAATTTGATTTCAGTGCCACCTGCTTTAAAGCTTTTAAAGCTTGTTTAGTTCCAATCTTCATGGCCTCTGATTTAACGGGGTGGACCACCATCTCATTGTTAGATAGCCAATCATTGATA